TTATAAAATGTTCATTATTGAAGCCAGGTATGGTAACACGCATCTATAATCCCAGCAGTTAGGAGGCTCAAGCATGAGGATTGTTGTCGGTTCAGGGTCAGCCTGGGCTACATAAGAGTTCAAGGCCAGCCTGAACTGCCAATGAATAGATAGATAGCAATAGCTTTAACTATGTAGCCCAGGCTGACCTTGAACTCACTGTTCTCCTCCTGCCTCAGCCTCCAGAGTTCTGAGATTACACACATACACCACTACATCCAGCCTTTGAATAGCTGTATTTTAAAATACCATGTACTTCAAATTCATTGCAGAAAACAATTTTCAACCATAAATGTTGTTCTGTATTAAATACATTTTTAGATGACACCAAAAAAATTCAGTTCATTAAGGAAAAAAAGTTTTTCCTAGCATTTCTACGTCATAAAACAATAAAGTCAGGCTGACCAAATAGCTCAGCAGATTAAAGCGACTGCAAGCAGGCTCAGGGGCCAGTAGGATCCCCGGGCCTGCCATGCTGGCCTCGCCCCTGGGACACACTGACATAAGATAGAGACAGGGCTTGGTGGCACGAGCCTGTAATCCCAGCACTTGGGAGGCTGTAAACAGGAGGATCACTACAAGTCTGACCCTGAACACCCTGTAGTCACTACTCTAAAATACAGGAAAAAAAAAAAGACAAAAACAATAAAGTTGAATCACTGTAATTTTGAACCCAATCTAAAAGCTAGTTAGATTTATACAGCAATACTTCAAATAGATCCCCCTCATAACTTATCCAGTAACTCAGAAAGTAATCTAATACGTATTAAAATGTGCCACAGAACACAAGTATTGAAAAATTATTCTACATAACAAGGAATAGCCTCTAACCACCCTACATATTTGAGGCATATACATGTTCATGTTCAAACAGAAAGTTTACATTTAACAAATAATTCAGCAACTTTAAGAATCAATCTTTTAGAAAATTTCTTAAGAAAACTGGATATTGGGGCCGGGGAGATGGCTCAGTGGAATAAGCGCTTCCCTGGCAAGTGCAAGGGCCTGAGTTCAATCCCCGTTTCCGCAAA